ACTAATCGCTCCAAACTCACAGAGAGCGCAAAAGTTTGGAGTATGGTAGGGGATACTGCATGAAATTGTCCACTGAGGTATCTTCAGCCGTGACACCCCCCCTCGAACAAAGTCTCAGTAGACCATGGTTAGGGGGAGATCCCAAATCGAATTTCGATGTTGATCACAAGAATCCAACAGTACAACGGAGCTAGTGCGTTCATGTTGTGACCCTATCTTATAACAATTACAGTGTCATAAACACTCACTAATATGGACGACCTTCATCTTCGACGAACGTTTTCATCATGGTAAAAGTTAGAAAAAATCCGTTTGGAAGCCACGAGTTTACAAACATCAAATGAACCCCAACTACAGAGTCTCGTTTGGGGTCGAAATTTGGAGTAGTTCCAATGTAACTATTTTTAACAACCGGTCGTAAAGTGTTCGCGCGCATGAAGTTCGCCATACTGCCAGTGTTTTATGGCAGTGACGCTTTTTACATTGTAGATTTTAGCGGGTTACATGGTCCTACGTGGAAGATGAGCCCCAGAAAGGGGATATTAAAGTACTTGGCACCATGTGGATTGATACGCTGATAAGCAGCGAGATGGCCCAAGTGGTTAGAGCGCGAATTTATTGACCGGAAGGTTCGTGGTTCGAACCCGACTTTTCCCTCTGACTTCCCTTGTCTAGGCTTGGGCGACCTGGCAGTATTCCAGCACTCGTGCTTCCTTCTGGTGGCATGGCAGCTAGGCACCGAAAGGGTGCTATAACTGAACGAAGGGGCCCGAATCAAGAAGACAAGCATTCTTCGTTTCTCTTCACTGTTAGGATGCCTAATCGAGACGAGAATGTACGAAAGCACCGTGAAAGGGCTTCTCTTCCTGGTTTGTTTGCTTGTTTGTTTTTGCCGGGGGGAGAGGATACTTCGCGCCACCAAGACATTCAGAGTGGTCCCTTGTCAACATCCACGAAACATTAGCGTTCAACACTGATGCATCTTCACCGTACAACCGTACAGTTTGAAGACATCATTGCGAACGAACATGGTGCTAGCCTACTAGGATCACTCCAAGAATCCTACACATCCAGGCACTCTTGACAGATACTGGCAACAAATGCCATTGATCGTCGTTGAGTTGTTCGCTGAGCTGGGCAATTTGATTGCAAAGGTTTCATCACCAATCGAGGTTGTGTCATTAACCCACCGCTACGCACTACTACGCTCCCCGATAACGCACTGATGAAGTCACCTCCATTGATGATGAAACGTTGGCAATCAAATTGCTAAGCTCAGCGAACCAGCCAACGACCATCTACGCTGCCTCTATAGTGCCATTGAAAACGATTAGTCGCCATATGTTCCAACATTTCCATCCATACACAAGAGGGCTGGTTCCGGGGACCTCATCCTGGAAGTGGAGTCGCACCGACAGCATCCGGACCTTTCATAAACGAGGTGACATCCTTCTGTCAGGTCAAAGATTGACCACCTTTCTACTCCCACCACTCTGAACTGCGCGGAAAACAACACTCCCTTCGGCATACACAATACACGGCCGATACAACGCAATTCTTCAATGGAAGTCCCCGTCGCCCAACCGAAAACTTAGTTTCTTCGCGAATTCAGCGACAGCTGCTCGCACAAACAACGGCTGTGCGGCCAGCCCTCGTGATTCCTTCGGGTGACATGGCTGCTAGGCACCGAAAGGGTGTTACAGCTGAACGGATATTTTTAAAGATGTCTCTGTCCGGCTGCCCGCAGAGAAGACATTTCACAACTACGCTAGGAAACAGCCCATACTGTAGCCTGGTACACACGTCCCCTGATATTCGAGGATAAGCCGCCTTGTCGAAATAGGTGTCTCGAATTAGCAAACGCGCCCCAGTCCTAGAGATAAGTCAGTTGACCTCAACTGTCACACCACAATCAGAACTAATACAAGTAGAACATAAGGTTGACGGGAACTCGGGGACTGCGTCTACTTGATGAGCCCTAAGAGGGGCGAAACCGGTCATGCGCTGCCGACGGATTTTCAGGACCCTTGTGAGAACTAATACAACCCAAAATACGCAAAAAGCTCCCGACGGATGGATTTTCAGCACCCTTGTGAGAACTAATACAACTCTCAAAATACGCAAAAAGCTCCAGCACCCCTGCTAGGACGTGTTGAGTCCCTGCATGTCTAGGAGCGTGAATCTACACTTTACGCGTGCAAAGCGCATGCTGAAGGACGAGATGACTTGGGTCAGTTAATCCAAAACACCTGTGCCCTTTTCAGAATGATGTCATCTGTACAAAGACTTCATCAGCATCTATTTGAACACCATGATTTTGAAGATGTTCCAGTGTCGGTCTTACTAGTCCGTCGAACGCGAAATCAAGTAGAACTGGAGAAAGTTGACATCATTGTGCGACACCGTTTTGAGTACGCGAGCTTTTGGAGAGATCTCTAGCAAGTCTGAAAACACAAAGAAACTATTACACGGATAAACTTTCTGGGCATTCCTTACCGGACAGGTGTATTGGGAATAGGTTGTTTATTTCTGCTCCGCAAGATGCCTCAATCTGTGCATTCATTGTCCGGAGCACATGAACTTCACTCCAAGCTTAAAGATTACTCATTCTGACGCAACTGTTCTGATGAGTTCAAGCCAACGAGGGGGCGGGCACTGGACTCGAATCCTGTGTCTCCACATTTGGCGTTGATTCACCAAAGTGATTGTAGCACGACACGAACACGACTATTCGAACAAGATTCATGCACACGTATATTTACCCAACTTATTCACCACTAACTATACCATCAACACCGACTGTAATAGTGGCACTTAACTATCACGTCCTCCTAGTTTCGGAAGCTATCCAGGGCGAGTTGTGTTTCTTCATTCTTCGGCTGAGTTGCCTAGACGTGCGTCCGAGATATGCCACCGTATAGCAGCAAAAGAATGAGTATACTAACATACATTGGGCGTGGGCATGCTCCACATCCTTGAGACTAAAGGTTCGGAGTGTTGTGGCCGGGAAAACGTTCTTCAAACTGGTAGGTTGGCCGGTTTATCGCCCTTAGACGGAAGGCTAATGTGAACGGTTTCTTTTCAATTGTGACGGTTACAATGTTGGCTTGTTGGCCTGTTCAAATGCTTCATGATGAAATTGTCAGGGAACCCATTACCTCAGAACGTTAGCGAGATTTGGGATTTCTTGTTCCAGCGTGTCATCAGAACACATTTCCTTCGCTCTGATAGTTAGACCGTGGATCAGATTCCGTCACTGCTTTAGTAGCACGAAGCTGGTAAAGTTTATGCATTGCTCGGACCACGTAGGCTTTCGGCACACCACTCGTTTCAAGAAACCACTGTGACGTCGTTCAAGGCCACCGACTCCTTCCGAGGTGAATTGGATGACAGTGTGGGCCTTACTGAACTGTCCATGTGGCCATTCCATTGCCGTTTTATTGTATAAAACCGAGAAAATATCATCCACGTATCGGCAGTAGTATTATGTCTTCAATACGCTAGCTTTTAAGGGGTCACTTTCAAGTTTGCTCATAAAAATGTCCGCTAGCATCGGACCCAGTGGTGACGCCATCAGTTTGACGGTAGATCGTGCCACTGAACAATGGTTGTGCGTTCAATGTGCATCGCGAGAGGAGCTCACGCAATTCGTTGACTGGAACTGACAACTGAAAGTTGTTTGCTTCCGGTTAATTACATAGGTAATTAGCGGTTAAGGTGACGCGTTCGTAAACAATCAAGTCACGTCCAGTGAACAGCTGAACGAATCGAAATGAACCACTCAAACTGTACCGATACATTTGTCGCCGTATTGGCTCCAGAATTTTGACGAGCGATTTTGTGATAGGGCGAGTTGTGCATGTCTAGAATAGGTCTCATTGGACAATTGGGTTCGTGGACAAGTCATATAGGCGTGGCGCTGTTGACCCTGTGGGTTTGACTTTATCGTAGGTCGTCTTCGAAATCGAACCGTTTGTGCTTTTTAGGCATGTTCCCAGTTGTTGCTCTATCACGAGCGTTTTATCCTTGTCGTTGGCTGTCTGAGTGAACTTGGTTATGCGAGCCATCGTCATCTTGTGTATATGACCACGACTGTTTCCGTCCCTTTGTCGGGGTGGCTGATTATGAGGTCATCTTGAGTATGTAACTCTGTAAAACAGAATTCAACCGTTTCTTTGTTATCAAGTACTGACGGTTGACTTTATAACGCGTATATTGATAACATCAGCTGACTGAGTCCGACTTGAAATGTCCTAGGTTGGTTGGACCCACTGGGGGCAGTTGTCATCATACCGACTTGTAGATTGTATCTCAAAATTAATGCGAGAGATACCGAATTTGGGGTCCTTATTACTGAGCATAAATGCTTAGTTAGTTCGATCATTCTAGCGATGTCGTACGCGGAAAAAGAACCGACAAAGATAGTGGAGTTTCTAAAACCCTAGAAAATCAACCGCCATATTTGCTTCCCCGGAGTCGATGACTGCTCATCCCCAAAAACTAGTTCGGGGACGTTGGCGGAGGTTTATTCAAGCTTTTACGAATGCCATCCGAACAGTTTTCTTCCCGCTATAGTCCCAATGAAAAGGGAGCTGAAAAGTTCTTCCGCAAGGGATGTACCGGACAGGACGCAGCTGCGTGAAATATAGAATGCGAACACGCAGCGAAAATAAAGTAATTAACGTCTAAGTGAAACCTAATCACATTGATGATCAGCCGCTTGTGACTTGACGGTTGAGTGTTCAAACTACTAGCAGGGGGCTCGCACGTTCGAGACTCCCCAAGGGGGTTTCGTGAGATGCTCAATGAGGATGGGGGACAGTGCTTCTCAGCTCGGGTTGTCTTCAATTACAGCAGGAGATCTTTTCACAAAAAATTATCCAACCTCTTCAAACAACCATCAAAAGTAAAGTAAACCGAAACCCGCAAGTGTTGGGAAAAACATGCGACGGACAACAAGTACCCTCCAGCGAAACGCTACAGCAAAGCTTGCAACACACCCCACTTGCTTCGATTCGTGGTGAGAAACTTCTGCCTCTGCGCGTGATGAGTGGCCGCATCGTAGCATTGCAAGACTTCGATCACCAGTTCCGGATTTCGCTCGCGTTCGTGAAATGGAATGTTGGCCGCACGCAACCACTGGAGCCATTCTTCTGGCATGCCCTAAACAGAAAGAGCAAAGGGTCAGTAAGGGCTCCAAGTGGCAAACTGATGCCTTGCATTAAAGACACAGCCGATGCATTTGGTGAACGGATTACGCTGATCTATCAAGGAGTCTAACTGCGTGAAGCCTTCAAAAAGAGATATGCACCTTAGATAAAACAAGATTGTTCACAAGACTGGTTCAGTTGAGTCTCTATTCAATACTCATTCACTGGATGACAAAACGGACTTCATTGTACCACAAGTTGCGGTGTACCGGAAATATTCTACATTTGTCGAATCAACTTGACAGTGCATAATCTGGAGACTACCACAAATAACCATGCAGACGAAAAGTAAAGTGCAGCGGTTCTGTCCTTATGTGTAGTTTAAAATGTCAAATGCAACCTCGTAGTTATCACTTTCGTCGCCTTTCATACGGAATATCTGGTTGAGCGTTGTAGATGTTACAAGGCTTTCGACAATGATGACGACGAAGAGTTCGAAATGTGGCATTGGTATCCCGGACTACCCTGAGCGAGATGGCCCAAGTAGGTAGAGCGCGAATTTACTGACCAGAAGGTTTGTGGTTCGAGCCCGACCTCCGCCTCTCGACTTCTCCTGTCTAGGCTTGGGCAACCTGGCAGTATCCCAGCCCTCGTGCTTCCTTCGGGTGGCATGGCAGCTAGGCACCGGAAGGGTGCTACAGCTGAACGATTTATTTTACTTTTTATTTTATTCACATTCCTAAGCAGAGTGATGCACTTGAAGCAAATTAGAACGTTTAAGGCAGTCTGGAGAGAAAGGTGAGTAGTTGATGTCAGGTACATCCAGCTGTCCAGAAGACGAGCCTATCTGATTAGGAAAGACAGCACTCAAATTCTCTGTTGGTTGAGACGGGAAGACTGCGTACTACACATTGTTCATATGCGCTGTCACGTGAAGGAGCTAAAAGCTAATGAAGTTCCAGAGTGACGACCAGCACGTTTATCCTTCCAACAAGTCTATACTAAACAGTCCTACCCATGTCCGTCGCTATACGCGGGAACTGGACAGCATTCGAATGACAATGGTGGTTCAGCTGTAACACCCTTCCAGGGCCTAGCTGCCACGCTACCCGAAGGAAGCACGAGGGCTGGGATACTGTCGGGTTGTCCAAGCGTAGACAGGGGAAGTCGAGAGGCTGAGGTCCGGTTCGAACCACGGGCCTTTCGGTCAATAAATTCGCGTTCTAACCACTTGACCCATCTCGCCCCTGACAATGGTGGTGCGGTGAGTTGTATCGTTTGTTTTGAAACCAACTGCGATTAGGGGCTCATCGTAGCATCGGTGAGTTGTACCGTTTGGTGTGAAACAAAATGCGATTAGGAGCCCATCATACCATGATCAAACGACTAGGTAAAGCTCTTTGGAACTGATGCAACCGGGTCTTTTTGTAGGGCCAACATGATTACGGGGGAAACGCGCCCCACACAGGGAACCGTCCTACTGGTTTCAAAGGAAGAACTACGCGCATCGATGCTGCAACCGCATCCCTTTGTAGGGCCAACCTGATTACGGAGGGCAAAGCGCCCCACACAGGGAACCGTCCTTCTGGTTTAAAGGGACAAACTACACGCATCAAGAAATAGTGTGACATAAGTGAAACTTCTCTCCATGTATACTGCCTTCCTACAATAATTCACACGAAAGCTTCAAATATATACATGGCTCTCGTCTTCTTAAGCCTCAGGAAGGAAGAAGCTAAGAAAACACTAGTTATCAGTGCGGATCCATGTGCTAACGCGTAACTGTGCATGTGTGTGTGTGTGCGCGCGCGCATTTCAGTTGTTGACTTGTTTCTCAAAATTTCTTGCGTAACCTCTGACGCTGCTCGTGTTCCTACTCATCATGAATTATGTTTTTGTCATACAACTAAATGCCAACAATAAGAGGAAAAGCATCCATCGACAGCCCACGACCGGTTTCGCCCTTCTTGGGGCTCATCAGGTAGGCGCAATCCATGAGTTTCCGTCAACCTTATATTCTACTGGAAACCTAATTGCACGAATCTAACAAAGTACACTCATTTGCGGACAGATTGGTTTTGGCGAGAGATTCGCTTGGAACCCAGTTGAATCGCTCGTTTGTGCTTCAGCTGGGTTCCAGGTGGGTCTCTCGTAAAGCCTAATTTGTTTGAAAATGAATGCATTTAGCTGACCAAAGCGCCTTCCCTAAGCAATTATTGTAATGGATACGAATATTTCGATTTGACGGCTAAAATACTGACATCACTATGTGCTGCTCTGGGGATCACTTTCACAGATATTAACTTTCTGGCCGTCTGTGTCAGGGGACTGCCAACCAGAAGTTCATCAAAACGCGTTTCCAATTATTCACAGGGGGCGAGATGGCTCAAATGGTTAGAGCGCAAATTTACTGACCGGAAGGTCTGTGGTTCGAGCCCGACCTGTGCCTCTCGATTTCCCCTGTCTAGGCTTGGGCGACCTGGCAGTATCCCAGCCCTCGTACCTCCTTCGTGTGACATGGTAGTTAGGCACCAAAAGAGTGCCATAACTGAATGATTTTTTCCAATTAAACGTAAGTACCCCAAAGGATTTTCTCGTTAATAGCCTGACATGCTGACTTGTTATCTTTATCACACGTCAAACATTCCAGCTAGGACTGAGGAGCATCTGTTACAGCTGACTGGTTATCCTTATCACACGTCAAACATTCCAGATAGGACTGAGGAGCATGGACTCGAGTTTATAAACGTCTGTATTCTTCCATCGATGGGGTTTTCTCCGAACGTATGCAGCACGGCACGTTATCGCACATCACGACAACTTGTCGGAGCTTGACCTCCTGCTTCAGTTTGTCTAAAGCGCTTCGCCGTCAGCAGCGAATCAGTGAACAGCCCCTCTGAAACACTCCCACTGTTGCGAGTGTGCCTATGAAATGTGAATTCAGTCTTACCCTGTTCGCACTGCCAGAACTATAGGGGACACGACTACGCTTGCGGTAAACGATGAAGTTCAGTCCAACAATCTGGAGGAACAAGTTTCGCTCATTTTCAGACATGAGAAGCCGCTGAGAGCATGTTGCTAAAGCGTTCTTCGCTTTTAAGAAATCGTGCGTTTGTTCTGTCTATATTGGCACGTACTCAAGTTTGCAAGTCACCCGATATGGGTTAAAGCTTTAACGGTCGATCTCAGTGGGCCATCAACGTCACCTTGTGATAAGGATGCACTTGAGCTCATGCATCTGTGTACCACTTGAATTCTGCTTAGGAGAATGGTAAAATCGGGACTAAGTGGGCCGTTGGGTACCTGACATTTTTGATGGCTGCCACCCACCATGGTTGACGGGGATGTCCACAACTCAGCCACGAATGTCTGACGAAACAGTAGGACAGTGAAACATCGGTGTCAACACTGAGCCCATGCTGCCGCAGTTCAACGCTTTCAGGTGAATCACGACGGGGTGACTGTGACCTTCCAAGTTGGGCTGCGATTGGGTGAGATTCAATCAACGCGCAGAATTCTAAGTGCGTGTATGAAATTTTAGCATCTGGTTAGCGAAAGCACAGTTCTTCCGCGTCTGAAACGCGAGAACCAGCGTAACCGCTTTTGCAATATGCTGTTTGCAAACGTTCGAAGTTCTGCAGGGAAAAGCATGGAAATAAACAGCGTGTACTCCACGAAACACTCAGTTAACTCAAAGACCCGACCAGGTTTTCGAAAGGTCGTTGTGTCCGTCCCAAGAGCGCCCATCCAGCACCGCAGCAGAGCAACACCGGGAGGCAGTGTAGCATAGTTGCCAACTTCGATCAAACCAAATCGAAGATTGTGCGTAAAGCAATTGCCCCGTTTCAAACGCGGAATAAAAAATAGAAAAACACCGCACATCCGATAGCTGACTCGGACAGACAGACAGACAGACAGGCATAAATAACTGAGGACCGATGCACCCATACACACACACACAACCACTCGGCAGACAAAACAATTGCGGAGACTCACGCGAAATTCGCCAGTGTTTGCATCGAACACAACGTGAATATCATGGCTGACACAAGTGGGCGAGGAAATCTTCGGATCATTCGACAATTTGGGCAGTCGAAATAGACGAACTGAGGATCGGGGTGAGCAAGCGGAGGATAGATTAAAAACAGATGACTCAAATGAATGGCATACATCAATCGGCGTGCTAGTGAACGCATCAAAACTAATCCGCGTATGATTTTAGTGGATGTTTTGAACTCGAAAAATAGAACGCTCGGGGCGCAAATAGTTTGGAAATGGGAAAACAAACTTCATAAGACCCCAGACCCGATCAGGTGCGGCTCAAATCAATCCAACAGCTTCTCAAATGTTATTGACAGAAATATGACCACATAGTAAAAATGGAAACACTGAAAAACTTTATTCAAATGATAGGTGAATAGAGAATGGGAACGCGTTTTCAAAAGCTCCCTTTAATTGTTGAGGGTGAGCTGCGGGAGGCACAAAGTATTCGGTTCGAGGAGCCATGGGTTTTGCTTAGCAGCCGACACATAACGCTTCAGTTAAATGTTGGCATCCTTGATGGTCACACCATATTGACAATCGCCACTGACGTGCGTCATACGAAGAACTTGTTGAAAAAACCATAAAGGGTGCGCACTCAAGCGGGACCTCTAAGTGTGCTGTCGAGGTAATGTTGGTAGCTAAAGTGACGTGGATGGTCACAGTTTATTCATTGAGCTAAGTAAATTGATTGCAAACGTCTCATCACTAACCGAAGTGACATCATCAGTGCGATGTTAGAGAGAGAAGTGGAGCACAGCGATGGCAGAACTACTGAGTCAGATCGGTCTATCTTTCATTCATTGTTTTTTGCACACTATTTCGGATATCATGCAGCTTGTGACGCGAACTTACTGATCCGCCGTTCGAACACAAACCGGGGAACTGAACCGCGCCTGTTTAGATCTGAACAATTTGGTGGTACCTCACCCGCCGTACTTCTGTCGGGTGCTATGGCAGGTATGCACCGAAAGGGTATTACAGCTGACCGATTGATTTTTCCACTTCTACTCCTTGTTGGCGAAAGGTTTGTATATTATTAGCCTGTCAATAGTATCAATGTTCCGTAAAAGTATGTGATATCTGTCTATGATCAACTGATGTGACGCCCAAACCGCCACAGACACTTGGGACTTGTTGTTCCAACTGAACCACCACTGCTTATCATTTACCAGCAAATAAAAAAGTTACTCAGCTGTAACACCCTTTCGGTGTGTGGCCACCCGAAGGAAGTACTACCGAGTTGCCCAAACGAAGACAAGCAAAGTCGAGAGGCAGAGGTCCGGGGGTTCGAACCACGGACCTTCAGATTGGTAAGTTCTGAGCTCGTCCAACAGTAGGAGACCATCGCGAGGCTGTCTACATCAGCGATACCTTCAACGACAATACTGAACTATGGTTTTTCAATCATAGAAATACGAACGCCACAAGTAGTATAAGAAGAGTTGGTAAGGTTCACTGACGTGGTTCACTGGGGCGAGATGGCTCAAGTGGTTAGAGCTCGAATTTACTGCCTGGAAGCTCCGTGGTTCAAACCCGACCTCCGCCCCTCGACTTCCCTACCTAGGCCTGGGCGACCTAACGGTATCCCAGCCCTCCTGTTTCCTTCGGGTAGCATAGCAGCTAGGCACCGGAAGGGTGTTACAGCTGAACGATTTCGAAGGTTCAATGACAGTCTTATGATCTTGGATATCGAACCAGAAGAACTCTGACACAACATTACTCTCCACAGCTGTACAAACGAACGAGTGTGTGGACTACCGAATAGGACTCGGTGCGCAAATCGACCGAGAACTTGGACTTGTGTATTATGCGGTGCTGATCAGTGAACCAACCGGGTTCGAATTCAGGGATCATGAACCAAACCAAACCACGCATTCTGTGGGTGTGGAATAAAACCCCGTTTGTCAACAACCGTACAGTTGTGGACAAAATCGAGTGTTCAATTTGACATTATCAGCCAAAAATGAGGTGACCGACACAGTTCTGTTTTGTTTGTCTATTGTCGTTCCCCAATTCCAATAACATGGGAGGTTTTTATTGCTCTAAAAATGTAGCTAATCCATTACGCAACGGGAGACGGCAATACCAAGCAGGTGGACTGTGTGTGTGTGTGTGTTTGCTTGATAACATGTCGTTAATAGCCGCGGTGCAAAGCCTTGTCCAGTTGGCGGCATATAAAGTTAGTCCTCGGGTAAGACGAAAAATGGTACCGATGCTTGTAAAAAATGATCGATAGTGGTACGATAGCACCACACTGTCGTGTGTCTGACTTCTTCCCCTTCGCCACAGTGCAAGAAGGAGTCCGACCGAAACATCTTACCACCATAACCATCTATCTTTTTGCCTTTTTCATTTCATGGCTTTTGTTGGAAATAAATGCAAGACACGTGGCGCTCTACGACGGACTTCTACTCGAAGCTTGCTGTGCTGAGGGCTGCGGCAGAAATCGATGGAATCAGACGACGGGACACATAGCAGTAGGTTCAGCTGAGCCATAACGATGGGCTGGCAATAAAATGATCGGGATCACGGGGGAAACAAAACCAAAGAGCAGGTGTCCAGTGGCACCTACCAATGTGAGATCAACGCTGAAACGGGTGTTTGATGTGTCAATCTGAGACAGTCGTACCTGTGGGCTGAAACGTTGGTCAACTCGTCACGCTGTACACAGGCCTGGTTAACTTGAGAGATTACTCCATATTGGAATAGCTCAGTGACTAAGGCGCAAAATTTCTGACCGAGGGTCGAACCCAACCTCTGCACCTCGACTTTTCCTGTCTAAGCTTGGGCAACCTGGCAGTATCCCAGCCCTTGTGTTTCCTTCGGATGACATGGCAGTTAGGCACCGAAAGGGTACTATAGATGAACGATTGTCAAGGCAGTCAATCAGATGGCGGTAAGATGGGTCGCAGAAAACAAAAACGTATCATCCACCTCTCATTTTTCATATCATGCGGTTTTACCAGAATTCACAGTACAGTTCCTGAACTCGACAGCACCCCAAGCAGGTACCCGAGGGGACTCCACTACTAAATGTGAACAAACGGAAGACGTACACGAAAAACCTATTGTGGGGACTTGAGTGTCAGCTGTATTGTAGAGGGCAGAGACAAAATAAAGAAGCCGTTGGAGAATGGAAGGACACCCAAGCTATTCCCTTAGAAACCTTAGGCAATACCGAAAACTACCTATTGTTTGCACTCTCCTAAAGGAATGCACGCTAACTACAAAAGGTCTCTCTGGGCATGCATAATGGCGGTATACAGAAGCTCGCGTGATTCACGCTCAGCTCGCCTAGCGTGGGGGGGGGTGTGTGAGAAGCCTCAGTGCATTTACTGACCAGAAGGTGCGTGGTTCGAACCCGATCTCTACAACCCAAATTCTCCTGTCTCGGCTTGGGCAATCTGGCAGTATCCTAGTCCTCGAGCAACAGGTGTGGTCGATTAGACTAATGGACGGCACCAACCAACACTGCAAGCAGTTGACCTAAGTTACAATTCATTGATACGTCTATTTAAGCCTAACCAACCAAAACCCTTTCAAATTTCGACCCCACAAGGGGCGGCCTTGAGCAGTACGCCGTTGAATGTCACCGGATGTTGCGCACATGAGGTTAACAGCCAGTATCCTATTTCTTCTAAGCTAAGACTGGTTTTCTCGAGACCAATTTTAAGGTTGATCGACAGAATAGTTTCAGATTCAGGTCTGCTAGACGATCGGAAGGCAAGCACTAGCATACAGATGCAGTCACTCATTTGCAAAGTGCACCTTCAGTCGACGTTCCAGACGAATCAAACGGTTTGTGCTCTTGATAATTTTGTGTCAAAGGGGCTTCCTTTGTTTATGCGTGTTTACTAAACAAATGAATATGGTCACCTGCCGTTTGTGTTTCACGAGACTAAAAGCACTCTGTTTTCAACGGATTAGTTTTTTTCTATTAAAAAACTCAACAGCAGTACTTTAAGAACTGAAAATTTTGAGATAACAGAAGTACTAGTTGGAAAATAGGCACTGACGATTTGTCAGGCTTATCTACTGTGGCTTTGACTTGGCTCGAAATAGTGTGAAATGAATTAACAGCGCGATGATCTAACATACTTTCCTTGAGCCCGAGCCACGAATTCAACTAAGCTCATTCATCTAGGCTGTGGAAACGACGGAAGTTCGGAGTGTACATCGGGAGAAAAAAGCGGAAAACGAGCGTAGTTCTCAGACTTCCAACAAAATGATAAAAACTACAATACAGATGGAACACGCTACTCACAAGGTCGCTGAAATTTCCGGGACAGTCCACGACCGGTTTTGCTCTTTTTGGGGATCATCGCGGTCCCGCGGGTTTCCTTCAACCTCATGTTCTACTTGAATCCGAATTGGACACGATTTGCGAGCTACACTTGTTTGCAGGTTAATCCGGTTTAAACAAAACATTCGACTGAATCCCAGCTGAATCTCAACGGAATGTGGCGCACAACGACCATCTCACACTTCCGTTGCTACGGTATTCGAGATGTGGCAGTGCATTGTCTAGACTAGTCTAGAACTAAGGTAGCTGTCTGCTCACAGTGAACTAACTAACTATTTAATGTCGCAACTACAATGCGCACTTAAGCGACCGTGGAATATGTGAAACTGTTGCCGACATCAAAAGGTACGTTACCCTGGGAAACTGTGGAACGGCAATACAAAAACGGAACACACACTCATCGTAAACATCCATCGAGTTGCAGGGGCAGCTATGCGCCGAAACGGCAAAACAAGTGTATGTTTAATCTGGTCCGTTTTGTCGGCGCACATTGTGCCTTCAAAGGCGACTCCGGTAGTTCGTCAATGTTCAAAACACAGCTAAGTCGTTGAACAATCCCGCGTCTCATCGTAGTATTCTCGAAAAACAACCTTTCTCATACGCTTTGGACGAATTACTTCCTAAACAGAGCAACTGTGCCTTTTTTAATCCAATAAACCGATCGCAAGTCATGGCTTCACCGAAAATCCTATTGGGAACTCTCCCGGTCAACAAAAATCTTACAGAAAGTTTGTATTCGGCACAATTTAGGCACATGAATCGCTTGACAGTGTGAATGTGAAGCAGTCCATTCGACCGTGACCATTGGACTGGTTCAAACAGGGACAAGCTGTACTGGATGTGAACGACCTTCACCCTTCCACAAGGGGGGGCACTGGACGGGGCATTGAGCTCAAAGTTGCACGATGACAGTTACCAGGGATTTGTGCTCATACTTCCATTGGTCAAACTCGTCGATCGTTCAGTTCCTTTCGGTGCCTACCTCCGCCAGGAAGCAAGACGGCCGAGATACTGCCAGTGTGCCCAAACCTAGAGAGAAGCAGTCAATGTGCAGAGGTAGGGTTCGAACCAGGGACCTTCCGGGAGAAAGGTTGCGCCTTGATTGCTAAGTCATCCCGAGCTCTTTTGCTAGACCACAATGAATGAGGCATGATATTCTCCATGGGAATTCGACCTGAAGGCTTAAAATCAAGTTCCTTGGATCCAAGCCTCTATATACAGTGATCAAGCAGTTACAATAATTCATGGGACTTGCGAATTAATATGATAGTTTTGTGCCTCATTCGCATCACTTTCGGGGTAGTGCGGCCAGACAGAAAATGGCTTGTCTCCAGGTTAGGAGTTGCATGCATGCTGCTTCACTCTGTGTACAGATCAAAAAACTCCACTCGGCCCTTGCAAAAGGCTTATTTATTCACAATTTTAACTGACTTCAGCAGCAGGTAGGTCATACAGATCCAGACTGAGTGATTCAGTTGAACTGATGGGCTTATACGCAAAAATCCAGCCAGTGTGACGAGGATGCGGTTAACAATTGAGGTTGAAAGCAATGTAAAACAGTCATTCACGCAACCTGTATGCAACAAGTCGGTCACTTCCAGCACAGTACATTGAGCTGCCCAAGCGTATCCGATTTATACTACAAACGTCCACGGTGCTATCTGAGTGGGAAATTGTGTCAGGTGGGTCAACCGATCGACACAACGGGGACGGTCACTGGGTCATTGTTCGAGCAATCAGGTGGAACAAATACATCAATGAAGCCCGAATATGGTGCTACCTGACTGGGAAGTTGTTGCAGGTGAGTCAACCAATCGACACAACGGAGACGGTCACTGGGTCATTGTTCGAGCAGTCAGGCGAAACAAACACATCAATCAAGCCGCGGAACATGTTCGTCTATTCAGACATGATGATGGTTCAAGTGCCTCTAACGTCAGATGTACGGAATTCAGACAGCGATAGAGCCAAGCATATGCACCGGAGATGCGCTCTAATAAGAGCGAAACACAAGTCCCTCAGATGCGGAGTCACCAGGACAATTTTGGCTTACGACATGTCGCATTTGCTCTCGGATAGGTTTGTGGGGAAAAAACACCCGTAGATCATTTTTGTAGTCTCTCGTCTGTCTGACATTTGCAATCAAACGAACGAAAAGAAAGCCGCTTGACACGATCAAAAAAGACCCCCAGATATTGGAGGAAGGATGCGAAACAGATAATCTAATAGATATGTTCTACGCACATACAATTTTACACCAAATGTTACAGTGCTAGTAGATGCACTCCTTGACCGCCACTTTCGTGTCACCCTAGATGTCATGTTTCCCAGAAAAAACTGTTTCGCTGTAACATCTATTCAACTCATACATGCCACTCCACCCGAAGAAAACACGGAGGCTGGGGATAATGCCAGTTTACGAAGCCAAGACAATGGCAGTCGAGATGTCCGGGTTGGGTTCGAACCATTGACTTTCCGGTCGCCTTAACCAATTGGATACCTCCAGCTCAAGATGGACAGGCCTCTAGACAAGCCGGAGTATGTGCTGACGTTTCGCACGTCTCGTGATGCAAGAATATTCAAACACCGAGGCAATTCTATACGCAAGTCGAATTACAAACAATGAACACATGCGATACGTTGACCACACCAGACCACGCCCAGACATCAGGACCAACGATTCTATCAAGCGTATCTGAATTGTCAACAGCGGCATTCCAGGTGAGTCCATCCACCTGCAAATCTCCGAAGAAATCGAGTTAATATCAACCTATTTGGACGAAAAGGCATTCGGTTGGCCAGAAGGCAGTCATATGCATACACATATATACGTGGTCAAGCGTGTGTTGACCAAGTCCTGTCCAAGACGATCTGCTCAACTTGTGGTCAGGCCAATCCTGTTTTCGTTCTCGGCCACGGGTATTTGAATGAGTACATGTGGTCATCTGGTGACATGCGTCCTCGCATCGTGAAGCGTTTAAAACAGGGTCATCGCCACAATATAGGAAATGTCCTATGACCTTCTCTTATCACCTTAGTAACCACGGTCGCGTTTCTAGGACTGGGACGCTGTAACTTGGTTGAAACGGAGATACATCCCATCCAGAAGGCAGTAGAAGAGGAGAAGCACACTGAGGAGTAAAATCAGCTTCCTTTGGCATCCTACTTCAGTGACCCTCCCAGAAACGGCCAATTTTCGGAAGAGACAACTTCTGACTAGTCCGTCTTAGTTGCTCTAGAGCGGGGGAACTGTACCATCAAGAGGTCTATAATCAGTAGGAGCAGTTTCGAATACAAGTGTGGATCGAAACCCTTTCAAACAAAAAAATGTATAGATACAACGTACGGGACTGTGCGAAATGATAAAAACACTTACTTCTACCACGGCCAGATTTTTTGGGCAAGTCAGGAAGAGGCTTCGTGGGTACAAAATCTGCATATCGGCTGTAACATGCATGATCATCGATGAATGAACAAATTACAAAGTGCTTGATGAACGAATTGGAGGTACTGGAGGGTCTGCATCTACCGGAGGCGACTCTTGCTCCATCACTACAATCCACTTTCGAACATTACACGCAGAAGTCTTCTACACGAAATCGATCCATCTCAAGCTGAAAGAGGATGAGTTATTTTAGAAAACCATATTAGAGTAGACAGTGCTGCGTGGAACGTCTTACCGTCAAGTCTCGAGAAGATTCCGCGAAGTTACCACTAAAGTACTCGGTTCTACGGGTCATTTTTCAGTAAAGTGAGTGCGCTTTTGACAGCAGATGCTTCAGTAGGGCAGCAAGTGTAATCCTTATACGGTACCTTTCGTTTTGGAACAGTGTGCAAACTGAAGAGTCTTAGCTACATCGCCTTCGGATGATGGTTATCGGTCGTATAAAGTAACTTAGGGAAAGCTGGTGATTCTGCATGGTATGTCTGCCATGGCCAAACAGGGAAGTGCAACCACTAGTCTCCGCTAGGCACTTCATTTTACGTCCCTGAGATGAAACGGTTGTCGTTCTCCAACTCCTGAACGAATTCTACAGGTGGACTAACCTGGGTGGAGGAAATAGGAAAACTTCGCATCTCTGTTATCAAAGCCAGTGCATGTGAGGACGGTGTAAGTAGGATTTGTGGGAGTGACGATGAAATGTGAGTGAACCGTGGAATGGCAAATGGTCACCCAGCATTTGATACTCTACGACTTTGGCTACCCTGAGGTTCGCCGACGCATGTACTATGGCTTCTCTGCTGTAAGATAGAGACCTGAATAGAGAATTCCCCCCCCCCCCAAAAAAAAAAACGCTCAACTTGGATTCAAAGATATCAGAGCCTCTTTCTCGAAAGGTCGAATTCCCTAAAATAGTACAACGTACTCATCAGCAATCAGGATACAGAATAACGCAAGAAAAGGACATTTCGGGTAATTAGTGGAGATTGCACCTGTTCAACGCTAAGCATTTGATATAAGTCTGAACAACAGTATTGAAATCCTTACAGCCAATAATTTTCTCATCTATTCGCTCTTCATAGAGAACCCCGCAAAAAAGTCGATCAGTCTGAGGTTTTCTTAGCTCAACTGCCACAACAGGGCACGAAAAATGCTGTACTTTTGTACCACACATTCTCTTGATAAGAAACGCCATTCTGAAGTATTCAAACTGCTTTATATTCTGATATTATCCTTGTCACCATCGTCACGTAATCATCTTTAGCTGTAGAACCCGGGGAACTGCTGTAGTGCTAGTAGTTGAAACAGTTTTGTCTACTGGGGACAAGGGTAGATAGCTAAGGATTGGAGGCGGTTGATGATAAAACTGACGTGAAAATAGAGGGATGCCAGTAGAATTTTCATTGGAAGATCGGAGTGGGAAGCTATGCATTGAAGACAACAGCCTGGATTCATGAGCTCCATTGAGGGTACGATTAGGCCACGTCTGATATGTCTCTAACCGTTGGGGTACCCATTCAAGGGCACAGCAATGACCAGCGTGGCTGAGTTCGCCAGTAATGGCTTTCATACACTACTTCCAAGTCATTGTTTGACCGCTCCTGACTCGCTTCTAGCCGCCGCGTGATTGTGCCAAATAAGCGATTCGACGAGGTAAGTAGACTGGCATGCGAAGCATGTCACAAAGGCAGTGCAACCTATGGAGTGGGATCAGGTCACCCACCGTGGGCGAGTTATTTCCTCCGAAAGTCATTCAACGTACTTCAGTATCACTGATATAATGTTCCCACCAGACTCGGGCAATGCTCCTCAGTGCACAGTGGCTAGGTTTCTGACAAATGTGGAGTGCACCGCAGTAGTGACCATTGACAGAAGCTGGCTTCACGCCTACACCGGAGCTGATCCAGTTTTAAAAAACTGTTCCAGTCTCCCCAATCAGGATATAAATATCATCTTTTGCTAAACCACCGAGTAGATACAGCTGCGCACGTCTACTACCTCAATCAGCTTATGATAATCATCGTCATCAAACACAGCAACATAAGTGTTGACACTGATGCCTCACTGCCGTACAATCAGCCTATAAATTAACCTATAAATCCAGAGTCGTTTGGCTGTTTCTCTAAAAATATACTTTTGATCTTTGCGAATGGGGGATCGAAAGTCCGCTAGAAAAACTACTCTGCCGTAGTGGCACAGTTATGGAAATGACGTCAGCCACTTGAACAACGAAGGAGCGTTTATCATTTCCTACTTATTTTGTATGGGCAAAACTTGTTTTTCGCGTTCTATTTAGCACCGAAATCACGTTAAAGTAGCAAAAGCAACTTTCGACCATGCGTGTGACTGTTGTCCCATTTGTGCCGAACTGTTCCTCTGCTGAGGCGAATTGTTTCCAGCCCGCCTACTACGTGTATCTGTTAGCACAGAGGATCTGCACTGTAACTAAGATGAGAAGCAAACACTGTTCCCTAAGGTGTTTTATCAGAAGTATAGTGTAAAAAAAATCAAAAAATGCAAAAAATTTCGTTCCTTGGGACATTTACTATAGTGAGGGCCGGATGAGGTGACAGTATTGTGCGGCAGCTATTGTCCGTAGCTATCTCACCTGTTAATTCGGCATATGGGCAGCAGTAACATCATCATCATCATCATCATTGTCAGCTGTAATAACCGCGTACTCATCGTACAGTGGTTGCAGCTGCCGCAGTTTCCTTCACCGATGATTTGGGGGAGGGTGTAGGTGGCTGCGCGTTGCAGGCGCAAGCTGGTTAGTTGGTGCATAAATTCAGCACTGTCAGTGGGCTGTCAAGTGCGGAGTAGAAACAGAGATGTGCATTGAAGGCACTAGCTTTGATGCACGAGCGCCATTGAGGGCGCGACTGGGCCATGTCTGACAATGTCTCCAGCCATTGATGTGGCCCGTCTCGGGGTCCCCATCCAGGAAGACGGAAATCAACAGCGCAGCTGAGTTTGCTACTAATGGCTTTCATGCTTCGCTGCCAAGTCATTGTTTGGCCGCCTCTGGCTCTCTTCCACCCTTTAAGTGGTTTGGCGAAAAGAGCCCCTCTAGGAAGTCGGTCGACTGGCATACGCAACACGTGGCCAAGATAGCGCAACCTGTGCAGTGTGATCAGTTCATCTATCGAGAGTGAGTTATGTCTCCCAAATACCATTCGACGTACTTCAGAATTGCTGATCCAGTGTTCCCACCAGATTCGGGCAATGCTGCGAAGACATCGATGGTCAAACACTGATAGTCTTTTGTCGTCTTCGCCGCGCAGCGGCCAGGTTTCTGATCCATATAGTAATATAGAGGACACCGCAGGATTGTTAACTCGACCCTTGACAGAGAAGCTGCTGTCACGCCTACGCCACAGGTGACGTAGGTTCGCAAAAGCTGCTCTGGCCTGGTCGTTGGCTTGTTCACTGAGCTGGGCAATGTGGTTGCAAACGTTTCATCACCAATCGAGGTGACATCATCAGTGCGTAGTTGTGCGTAGCGGTGGGTTAATGGTTGTGCACAGCCAATATCCCACCGCTGCGCACAACTACGCACTGATGATGCCATCTCGATTGGTGATGAAACGTTTGCAACCACATTGCCCAGCTCAGCGAACAAGCCAACCACCATCTACACTACCTGAGCTACCGACATTCTCCTCTATA